TGCAAATAAAATACTGTATGAGACTTTGCACGATTGTAGTCTAAGTCAGTAGTTGTCGGGACTACTTGAAATATGCAGCGGTTGAGAACCCAAACAGGTTTGCAACAAAGGGGTCGAGAGGCTCTGATTAATAATGTTGGACAAAGGGAAAACGGGTTTTTTTCCTAAACAGATTAAGAATTTGTCCAATCTTTCTATTGTTAACTGTATTTGTTGTTTTGAGTTGTTTTACCTCTTTAGACCTCTCATTAATCAGAAGGCACTGCTTTGCTTTAAAAGGGTCACAGGCTAAGTTCCACTGCTCAGTACAGAACAAAATGGCGACATTGAAAGGAATGTTTGGCGCTGCTGGAGTGACTTCATGAAACTGAACCGAGCAGCGTTTTTTAACACCATGACAGTCTAAATCAGTTGTTTTGAATTATATCTACCACACACTGAACTGTGAAAAGGTCATCAAAATCAATGGTCAATACAAATCTATTTAATCTTTGCTAACAAACTTCATAAACACGGCATTGGACCACAAAATCAAGTGCTTATAGACTGTGAAATGAGCTTCAAGCAGCTTTGTTCAGCATTAGTATTCAGGAGATATCTTATCGCTCTAAACTGTTATCATAGCATTTCAGCTATTTTAGACACACTGACCTTCTCTTAAGGACAGGAGATAAGGCTTTTAATGTCCTTATTAAATCAAGCCATCTATGCAGACTCCCAGAGCCGTGCAGTGTTTCAGGAGCCCTTCACTCTCTTAGTGACTAATAAGCATCGCAGTGATAATGACCAGAGGGACTGGATGCTGTATCTGCTCCTTCAAAATGATCGTATCATCCTAACCATCACACGACATGCCATGATATCTACTGGCTTTTTGTGCTCAGGTATATGCATGGAGAGAAAGCACACTCACATTGACACACACATTTTAGGCATTCTCCCAAAGGTAATGGAGCAGTGAGCTCTTGGGGAACAATAAATCCTGCTTAATGGGATGGTACAAAAAATCTTCAGAGCTGAGCAAAGTCAATCTGCATACACAGCCAATGAGGCTTACATGTACTGAAAATGTTATATATGTGTGTGTGTGTGTGTGTGTGTGTGTGTGTGTGTGTGTGTGTGTGTGTGTGTGTGTGTGTGTGTGTGTCAAACCAGTAGATGAATAACAGTAATGCAAAACATCTTAAAAGGTTTCTGGTTGTCGCTTTAAGTGAGAATATTTTATTAATATTTAGTGTGTGTGTGTGTGTGTGTGTGTGTGTGTGTGTGTGTGTGTGTGTGTGTGTGTGTGTGTGTGTGTGTGTCTTTAGCAGTTAAGGCGGCTGTCAGCTAAATTGCGTATGCCACAATTCATTCGATTGACTCACCATCAGTCAGCTGAAGTCTGGTGAATTACACCACACATAAGTCACGTCAGTCACTAAAAGACATGCGAGTAAAGATCTGAGAGGCATGCTGTCCGAGCCACATCCTGAAACAGTGTCTGTGTGAGCCAGGAGCATCCACACAGTTTAGTCTGATCTATTCAACGACCATCATCAGTGTCGAAACTGCACATAACACATTTACAACAAGGTTTAAATGTAAAGTTCCTCCTGAACTAAAGTAATTAGACCATAGTATGTGAATGTATATGTATATATTGAGTTAACGTATATATCTCAGTCTGCATGAATTACCCTCTCTATGAACTTCACTTCAACATGTACACTACTGTGTAAGTTGGAACCATTGCTTAATTTTCATGAATTGCAACATGATGAAAACACCAGCCGCGGGTAGCAAAACATATCCAACCATTATTTCATTTCTGGGAAATAGGGAGACATGCTGTCCATAGTAAATAATCATAGTCAATTCAAGGAAATGATGTATTGTTAGGTAATATCTCTGACTATTTAAGAGCTTGTGTTTTTGTATGTTTGGTTTTTTAATGCAATTAAGACACGTCAAATTCATTTAGTTTTATTTCCAGTAGGCTATTTTTCTCAAGGTGTCCAGAAATGTTTACAATACAATAAAGCTTTAGGTGACACTAACGAACATCAAAACTGTAACTGTAATGTATCAAATTTTATTTAAAGTTTTAAAAGGGTCAAATTATATATTTCACTTAAAAAGATGCCTTGTTGAGTTGGGTGATCATGACTGGAAGATATCTGATTATGCTAACCTTGCCACATTATTTTCACTAATCCTTCAGCATAATATGTTAAAGGTCCCATATCATGGCCATTTCTACTGATCATAATTCCATTGTTGAGGTCTACTAGAATAGATTTACATTGTGCAATGTTCCAAACTCACATTGGTTTCTCATACAGCATCTCTGTATAGTATGTGTATTCACTCTCTGTCCTACACGGCTTGTTGGAGGTCCTGGCCCCCCCCTCCCTATGAGCCCACTGTGCTCTGATTGGTCAGCTCGCCCACTCTGTTCTGATGAGTCCACCACCGTTACAGCGCAACATCAGTGATTATGTGTTACAATGGCGTTAGCAACCAGAAAATGACACCAGTAATGACTAACAGATGAGAATGCTGCGTGGGGTCTGGGTGCCGTGTTGGCGGGACGTTGCGGGGCTTGCTGCTCTGCCCTTTGAGGATCGAGGAGCGGACAGTGTGAGCTGAGTTACTGGTGTGCAGTGTTGGGCAAGTTACTTCCAAAAATGTAATATATTACATATTACTTATTACTCTCTTTTTGAAAGTAATAAGTTACATTACAATATTACTGTCTCTGAAATGTAATGAGTTACACTACTTTAGTTACTTTT